TCAAAGCGTTCTTACCACATACTTTTCAGTTTCCCAATAAGGGTTATCGATTCCAATTAGTATTGTGTACCTACAAGTGATCCTGCAGTCTCATTCGAAATGCAACTTTATTACTACTTACAAACATAAAAAGTCCACGTGATAAAAATTATTGAATCAAAATCTTGTGATAGTTATTCTAATATGGACATACAACAATTATTAATTATTAGGGTCTAGTTTTGAGAAAATAACCAATCCGACTCGAATTTAGTTCAAGTGTAACATCAAAATTCAATGCGCACGCGAATTAGATCAGTTTCGCCACATCATCACCAAATTAACCAAAAAAGAAAGATATCTGCGATAAATATCAATAGTCATCCGTTAGAGGATATGCGGAGGAAACTGTTGAAGTTCCAAAAGGAGATGTATCGATTTACTATTGCGTCTCAAATAAATGCAGTACATGAATAACAAACTGAAGAGAGCTAGCTAGGAGAGAGTAATAATGGGTTGTTTTATGTTGGTGAAGGAATTGGGAATAATAAATGAGAGGATTGATGATGATTGAGGGGAAGCATGAAATTCTGGATTGATCCATTCGAAAGATACTTCTTATCAACAACACAATATATGAATATATGGTTATATATCAGCATGAAGCGTGCACTCTCCAAAGTACAAAAAATGTGTGTGTGATTGCTGTGGATAGAAAAGACGTGTTTCCATTGATGTGACTTGGATCCAAAGTCGACCACTTCTCTTCATTTTCAGAGTTTAGGACAGTGCCAAATTTATAGTATCCGCATATGCGGGATTACACATATTCCTCATCATTCATTCCATATCGTCGCATCCGTTATTTAATTATATATATTTCTATCTCAAAAATACTTGGAACGTAACTTCCATTTCTTTGCATTGCGATTGCAAGCAATTCCATCCGTGTATGGACGTCTATGGTGGCGGTCTTTTTTCTTGAATTGATGCCTTTACAAAGAGGAAACACAATAATATCTCAATGTTGTTCAAGGTTGCACTAACATTTTACAAAATGTGCTGAAGATCGTCTAAAAAATATTAAAACAACCATAAATTTTAAAATCGGTGCCGGATTGATTAGTCTTTATTTTCTTATGCTAAACAATTACTTGAAAATTGAATCTCCGATTCTCATGATTTCTTGATCTAAATTAACATCACTATCTAGAAAATTTGATAACCAATAGGTTAAGATCACTCCAGTGACCAAATTTACATTTTCAACACCATCAATTAGATACGATCAATCAGTTCAAACATGTAAAGAATTTGACTATTTTGCTCTTGAAAGTTCCAGTTTATCGAATCGAATGGTGCATTAAATACAAATGCTACCTCCAATCTCTCTAATCTCTTCCAAATTGAGATATTATAGTAAGTGTATGTACAACAATTAGTCAAATGTGTAGGACATGAACCTTTGAAATATTGGGCACCCAAAATGTTAGACAATGCACATCAAACTGACAACTGATGAACACACAATCAAAAACAAAAATTATGACCAGATAATAAATTAGTTTATAATAAAAGAGAAATAATCAAATTCTCTACTAATCCGAAAATCCAACCAAAAGCCCGGATTTTAGCTAAACATATAAAAATATCACGTGAAATGTCTAGCTTTATAAGTGGACTGGGTGGCTGTGAAGTATACAAGCACTCCCCTCTTGGGTCACCTCACACGTGTTTGTACCCGAAAGAGACACTGGATTTATGCAAACCTTTGGCCCACCCAGACTTAAGGGAATGTTGACTTTGACTGGACCTTATTAATATGGAGCCCCACCCACACGTGAGGGATATCTGTAATATGCTTCCTTGTCGGGCCTATTCCTCTAAAGGCCCAGTTGGCCCATTTCATGGGTCCAATACTGTGTCACCAACAGTAGCAATATCTTTCGTCCAGAATTGGTGGTGTTTGGTAGACGTTTCACAATTTCTCAGCTTCACTAATTACTTTTTAAAATTTTTTTTTTAAGGAAAATAAATTTTCTTTTAATTTTGAGGTGAAGAAATAAAGAATGTCTTTCCATATCATGAACGAGTTGTATCTGTTGCTTGTGCCACTTTTGTGCATGCACTTGGCGAAATGACGTCATTCATGACACAATAAAAAATAGGAATACTCAGGCAGCAGCACCATTGCTGATTAAATGATGCGTGGTTTTTTCGGGACTAAATATGCTCAAAGATTTTAATTTGTTTAGGTTTAAATGGTTGAGCAATATTTTCTTTCTCGAATATTATCCTTTTTTTAAGGCAAAATCAGATATTATTGCTCGCAACTTGCATTATGTGTGCTTCCTCATATTCCATTCAATCAGATTCTCTATCAATTTGATGATGTCCTTCATTCCTAGTCTTTTCATTAATTAAAATCATGTATGAGACTTCTACTTCCCGCGAGGCCACAACTTGATAAAAGTTTAGCTATTGGTGAGTGAGAGGTAGATAAGATAGGAGATTGTAATTAATCACGAAATCAGAAATTTAAAAGTCCTCAAGTTACCTGAATGCAAACAATAAAACTTAGAGAGCTCATAGAACATATGAATATGTTGTCGTTGTCATAAATTGAGTGTGTTTTCTAGAAAACTAGACTGTTATGTAATGATTCAGGCTGCAAAAGATTCCCAAAGTGCAAATATTCTCCAAGTAACTTCATTTACTTACTACTACTTGTTAATGTTATCTTTGACGAGGGCAGCTTTGAAGTTTATGTCCATATGGATAGGATCACAAGTCACAATGTATCTACGTAGGATGAAATAAATAAAGGGTCTGGAGATTGGTCTCCCGAAGAAAAACCCAAAAAAAAAGAAGAAGAATTGAAAGAATGCCAACGACGAAGGGAGGAGATGACTAAGAAGTATTTTCATTATTGATAAATTGAAGTGGATAAAAAGTGTAGGGCGAGTATCCCGAATTTACGGACAAGAGTTGACAAAAAATGAATAAAATAAAGAAATAATTTAATAAATTGATACACCTATATGTTGTTGGGCATGGATGGATCAAATAGTTGTTGTGTTAATGAATGATGATCGTTACTGATGTTATATATAAAAGCTCATCATTGTGCTCCATGTTGTGTGTGTGTGTGTGTGAATTGAATCGACTAAACAAATTAAAGATGACATAGTCAAAACCTGAACATTAGACCAATTAAGTTTTCCAAAGTACTAAAACTTAGTAACTTACTCATATTGGAAACCCTTTATTTTAATTGGCTAGATAAAACCTTACAAAATTGGTTTTTGTTTTTTTCCCATTACAAAATGTGTTGGGTAGGTACGAATCGGATGTAAAGTCTAATGCTGAAATCACCGCAGGCTGAAATTCTAAATCCATTCCAAGAGACATTTGGATATTACTATTATATTGGCTATGATTGGATTAAGATTCAAAACAAACTAAAGCCAAAATGATTTGGTAGAAAAGTAGAAATTAAGTAGCTTAAGTGTGAAGACTTTTTTGGGTGAGATGAGTTCGTTCCTGACGTAAATTATATATCCACATCAGTTAATTATTAAATAACACCATTCATATTCTATAGAATTGAAGTTGAAATTTTCTCCTTACTTTCTTCCCACTTTTAATTTGATGACTCAGAAAGAGACTTTCACCCTCCACCCTAACTTACATTAGTGATGACGTATTTGGATAAATCTACAATGCAAATTATCCTCAAGAATGATTGCTATATTATCATTCAAAAGTTACGCTTGACTCGGTTGTAGTGTCATCGGAATCATCTCCTTTGGTGCCCTTATCCATTTTCCGGCGTTTATTATGATTGTAACTATAAGACGTGTTTTTGACTTTTGAAAATAACTATCGCGCTCATTCTTTTTGCTTTTGAAATATTCTAGGCTCTCTATCCCATAAAAACAGTTTATAACATAGTGCTATACTCCTTCCAATATTATAAGGTATTTTGATTTCTTAAAAATTTTATCTAGGATGTCTTTTTAATTGAAATAAAAATTTTAAAACATTTCGTAATAATTAGGAGAACACTAGTACGAATGTGAAAATATATTTTTAAGGTTTTTTTTTCTAATTAAAAAGACATTTTAGATGAAACCTAGCACAAAATCAAAATGCCTTATAATAAGAAGGACCAAAGTGAGAATATCCCTAACACTGTTATATCTATTTACATTTTGTATGGTGTTTTTGGAGGGTTTCATGAATTAACAATTGAGGGAGGGGGAAAACAATTATATTGTAAATAGCTCTTGTTTTAAAGAATGTAGAATGTAATCCATCTGGATTCACCTAATTGTGATGAGATTTAGTTGTGTATTTTGAATTATGTTGGTTAGTGGCGACTAAGTGAGCACTAAGCAAGAGAAGTTGAGGCATGGAGATAACATCCGTTTTTGTTTGAGCAAAAAAAATGAACTTATAGTACCAAAAATGAAGATACACACATGGGCTTTAATGTTGGGTTTTGAGAAAATAAAATAGAAGCCCACTTAGGGCATAAACTCCAATTAAGACAGAATCGAAGGGTAGGATTGGCTGGCAAGCCTACTAATGTATTTCCGGGCTATTGTCTAACTGTGCCTAATGAAGTTCAGATTTATAGAAATGCACAGTAGAAATTAGTAGGCGTGTCACGTGTGGACTTTGAGTTGATTGATTAAAGATTATGTATTTGTACCAGATCCATTCCTTCTTTGCCTTCCTATTACTGATTTGTTTTGAATGTTTGATTTGTTAGAATTGGAATTGAGGGTGTGAATGAAATGAACTAAAGTCCATGAACTTGTGAACCTACAATCTTTAAGCTGCAGGAAAATGCGGCCTAAGAAATGACAAAAAACTACTCCACTTAGTACTTTGAACATTATTTTCCTTCCAGGCAATTTTATTTGCCGCAGCCACTAGCTAATGAATGATTTAGATTGTACATTACCCTAAATAATTTCAAAACCTGAGAGCATTAAGTATCAGTCAGGGAGGAACTACTGTCCATGAAAATAAATCATGTTTTTATGTGATTAAGATTAACTCTAGTTAAGTATCTCTTTCCATTGTCTTATTTCTTGAATAGTGAAAGGAAGATCAGACTCTATATAACATTCCCTTACCTTGTGGATTTAGAAATTGTTAGTCAGGATACAGCACCCTGAGTTGCTAATCCTGATTTACAAAACCAAGAAAATGTTGGCTCTAATTTGTCTGTCACAGATGATAGTGCCTCTGAAAACAATGCAGAGGTTGTAATTGATTCTAAGTTGCCTTCACCAACATCTGTCTCTTGACTCTCTTCAAATGCTCATACTTCCGACAAAAGAAAGAAGTAACCTGCAAGCAAAGTTCAGAAGATTCCATACCCTTCAACCGTGTTTTAGTGTGGTTTCACTGAGTAGGGAATATAGTTTGTGTTGAACACTGGTGAAGTACTGGATTTGTCATTGAGCATTCACAAACCAATGCATTTTTATGATCAGTGATTGTTTTGGTCTTTGTTGATCACTGAAAAGGTACTGGTTGCAAGAATGCGCGAGAAGTTTGGTTGGCTTAAGATATTGAAACGGCTTTTGTTGGGACTGAAAAATCAGTAGTAACACATTAATCATTCCAGGATAAGAGGGTAATACCCCAGGGAATGCTACATAAAATGCTTTGGAACTCAATGTGACTGAGGTTTAACTATTGAATCTTGTATCTTGTTCACTATTGTTGAAGGTTCTAATGTGGCATCAACCTTGATTATCCCTTCAGATTCCTCGATCTGAAGCAAATCCAATTGAGACTGCAAGAGCTTAGCAGGCATGAAATGCTTCCCTTCTGCGGCCCTTCTTTCGAGCCGAGCAGCAAGCACCTCAGCTGGAGCATCCAACAGCACAAATTTAACTTTACAAACATAGGAACCTGGTTTATAATTTTGGTCTGCAGATCTTAGGATTTCGCGGTAATGCGGCTGCAGAGCTGAGCAACCAAGGATGACAAATTCACCATTTGCAATACCTCCTTTCAGGGAATCTCTGAGTGTTTCAAGCCACGGGATGCGATCTGCCTCAGACAGAGGAATCCCATTCTTCATCTTTTCTACAAGAAACACAGAATAAATTTCACCAGTAAATCAAAAAACCAGAAATTTGCATTAGCCAATGATGATGGTGAAACCAATAAGCTAGATTGAAACCCCTCTGTTTGTTGCTACCTTTATTAGACTGTGGATGGTAATCATCAGCATCAATGAAGCAGCAGCAGCCTAAAACCTCTGCTAGCAGATTGCCTATGGTTCTGCAGCAGACAAGATGAACACACACATGGTAAGGATTTCTTCATCTCTTGATGCATCAGATTTGGTAAACTGAAATATGAGTACAGATACAAGTGGAAATTTTAAGGGTATAACAGCTGTTGATTCAGCAAGACAAAGCATTGGGGGAATAGTTTAGTTAAAAAAACACAGCATCTACATGTATGAAAAATGCATCAATCCTAATCTGAAAGTTTTTCCACCATCATCCAAATACGTCCACTGTTTTATTAAATGGTTTCATTTCTTCCAGACATAAGTATTACTTTTAGAATTAAGAGGAAGATAAAAACTAGAGATGGAAGAACAGATACTTCAGTAATTCAAAAATAACTATGGAAGAATTACTAAATCACTCTAGTTATATGCAAGATAGACATAGATTCGACACTCACGATTTCCCAGCACCACTGACACCCATAATAACAATAGCTTGTCCTTCTAAGCAGCCTGCACAATAAATCAGCTGATTTTACAACACTGATGGGACATATAAACTTAGCATACAGTTGATTTAGAAATTAGAAACTGCAAAATCTAGGAGCAGAAATTACGTACCACCTTCACATCCAGGAGCCATTTTTTTGTGCGCAGAATTGACGGAGAAAATCGTATGGGCATGCAAACTAGCCTCAGAAATGCTCTATCTATAGAAAGTAAACCAAAAAAAAAAAAAAAAAAACCCCACAAAGGAAAAAAGTCAATGAATAAAAACTACGAAGATGAGATAACAGACAGAATCTGATAAACCGGGAAACTCAAAGAAACAGGAGAAATTTTGATTAATTTCTTGATCCCGATGCATATCACCGGATCTTGCCCATTCTTGGATCGTAAATTTGAGTCGGCTCAGAGAATAAGTCAATACAGAGACAAAAAAAAAAAAAAAAAAAAATTGAGATCAGGGAGATTGAATTTGTACTTGCTTTAGTTAGGCAAATCACAGACCCCGCTGAACTCAGGATATGGGCCGCAGAATTATTAATCCAAAAGGAGTGTTTGATGAAAATAACTAGCTAAGAAATGTCGTCTGCCTACTAAATCTTACTAGTCAATCAATGAGAATAGTGTCCAATGCTTACCGAAAAAAAAATATGATTACTTCCGTTAATTGCAATCCTAATGCGCATGTGGTTTCGTCTTTTTCATGGACTTTATCATCGCAATCAACAATGCCGACGAACATAAATTCATTCATGAAACACTCCTTTTTCCTTGACTCCATCTGCCTAAGGGTATCACCCATAAATAACATGTATTTATAAAATATTGATTTTTACACCGTGGAATATATAGTTTTGTGAACTACCATTCAATTACTGATAAAATAGTGGGTCTACCATAAATCATTAATTATTATTTAATTATATTACACTTTTCATAGTGCAAAGTGCAAACTAATATAGAGAAAAGTTTAATAAAAGAATAATAATATCATAAAATGCTACATAGCATCTCAATATGTCCAAAATGGTGTAAAAAACATTGTGAATACTCTAATCAACGCAATTCAATAGTATCAATCATATATTACATCTTCTCAAAAAAATCTATCCACGTTGAGTTTTAAGATTTGTACTCTATTATTTAATATAAATTTTAAAACTCAATGTTAATTATTTTTCAACTCAATCTGTCCACCTTGAGTGAAACCTTACTTTCTTTTTCCTATAAAACGTTACAATCAAATACTAGTTGCAATGCCTATGTGATGCCCTATCAAAGCTTTAATGTGTCAGGAAAGGCAGTGCCCTCAGGCCTCAGTGTGCTGTCCCAAACTGACCAATGTTTTATCAATGTATCCCAACATTTGGGAATATTTTCCTTTCCCCCAAAATTGCGCTGCCATAAACCATCCTTTTTGAATTTCAATGACTACTATTTCTATAGTATTTGAATCTCGTGACTAATTAAATTACTTTTCCAAGTACTCACTACTAAGTACTAGTACTTGTTTTAAGCTGGGGAGCACTATTCGCCTCCATCTTTCTCGTGATTGCCTCAAAGAAAAGCCTCTCCCTACGGTCTATAAAGGGGAAACAAATCATTCTTCAATTACAAAATATTATATAGTATGTAATTCAATTTGATTAACGGACAAATTTGTGTTTCAGATGATTATTGTGTTCTTGACAACCTAAAAATGACACTTTCGGTCATTAACTAATTTGAACTGTGAAGTAATCTTTGAGTCCAACTAATACTACTAGTTATGGATAATTAAACTAGGATGGAAAGAGTAACTAATTTTCTGAAATGGTACATGCATGCGTGATTTTGTAAAACTCGTTAATAATCTCATAAACATAGTAAGGCAAAAGATCATATCCATATGTTTTGCTTTCTCTCCCCCAACAATGAGAAAAATTATTCCACACAACAAGTATATCATTTTTTTTAGTACAGTAATACACCCATTATACAGTAAAATATTATAACTTCCTAATTTTGTGGTAACTTTCCCATAACCTTGCCCTCTTTATATATCTAGCTGTACAATTCTACTTGGTACAACAGCTGTATGGAAGATTTTCTCCCAACAATGAAAATTACCTTCCATTTAAAATGGGATTAATAAGAACAAGATGCTAGCTAGGCACATAGTCTCTCGGTCAATTTTCTTTTTCTTGGTCTTTTTTTTTTAATAGAAAAAAATAGGGTTCTTCCAGACCTTCCTATAGGCGACCAAAGAGAGTCTAATTGGATTATTTATTTATTTAAAAAAAAAAAGAAAAAGAAAAAACCTATTCAATTGTCGACCTCAATCTGACTTCCTGACTGCAGCCGTTACATTACATTACATATGTTTTTGGTGTTTATCTTCCTTCCTTTCATCCATGGAGCACTTTAAGTCTTTAATGTTAGTATCTTCATTTATATCCCTGTGTGTTATTCTATTACTTGGGATTTTTTAAGGGGGAAAATAACCAAAGAAATAACTTGCTTTGAATTTGAAGATTACTTGGGATTTTAATGCTTTAATTTCATTGCGTTTTTTTTTTTTTTTTGTATTTCCCAATTTCCAATCCCACGACAACTTTAGCTAGTTTGATAATCCCAATGGTTAGCAGTACTGATCACTTGCCGTTGCTCAGCCGCTGTCTTTACAATGGTTGGACTTTGGTGCAATGTTTCACAAGTTAATTACTCTCTCCGTCCCAAAAAAAAGTCCAAATTGAGTTTTGAATTTTATACTGTTTTTAGTACAAATTTGAAAATTCAATGTTAACTATTTTTTTGATACGGAGGTAGTATTAATATTGTAATTCTTTCCGTCTCACGTCTCAATATAATTGATCATAATATATAATGTTCCGGATGTATTCGTGAAATTACTAGGTAAACATATTCTTATGCATAAATGGCTCTTTTTCTTAGCTTAGGAGTTGCCTTTGGTTTTGTTGTCTTTGATGGGCAATTTGGCACTGAAATGGTGAATATAAAATGGCACTATTGAAAGAAAAGAAGAAAATTCCGTTTGATTTGCAGATATGACGTTGGAGAATCAAGCAGAAATTAAAAATGCTCCTATAATTATTCTCCTTCACAAACTATACTATTAATACTATCCACATGGATGATAGCATTTGAATAAGAGCCTTTTCGGATAGAAAAATGCTTTAGATTCATACACAATCTGGGTAATTTTATTTTATTTTATTTTAATTTGCAACAAAGATAAATAGAGTAGTATACCTTACCAAGTCGATATGATGGGGGTGGTTAATTAATTGTGCTGGAATGGTTTTAACTTTTAAGTAATGTCTTTTAGTTCACCCAAAAATAATAATAATGAAAAATAATAGAACTATTTCATGATACCTTAAGCGACCCGGAAAGCATCATTATTGACTAATATAGTTTGTACTATTAGTATTTGGTTAAAAAAATTTAATACTGCTCAAGTTCTAAAAATATATGGTCTAATACAACAAAGTATATTAATTTTTGTAGGATAAAGGGACTAATATTTTTTGTTTGATGCATTTTCTTTGTGATTAAAACAATGTTAGAACTAATTAGAACAAGTCTTATGGTGCAGTGAAGTTCAAGCTGGTAAATCTCAAACATAGTCAGTAATTGCAGTGCTTAATACGCAATTTATAAAGCATGCATCAATCAATATAACAGATAAACAGTAACTGTCGAACTAACAAATGGTCCAACCGAAAAGATTGCAAGTTCAAGAGATGCTGGTGGGTTAGATACACGACGTTAATTAGCGGAAATTTGTATTTCAAATACGATTTCTTGAGAAAGAAAAATTAAACTCCATCCATTCTAAAATAATTGCATTGTTTGTTGTATTATTATTATTATTTTATTATCAAACGATATAATGATTTTGAGATAGAAAAATATAAAATTTTTTACTAATATGAACTCCAACGAGAGGATGTATTTATACTATTTTATGTGTTGGCAAGTAATATCTAGTTACATCTTTAGGATTTTGATAACAACAATCTAATCCACATATCCAACGTTATCTTCCATAGATAATTGACATCTATCCTATAGATTTGAAACCGCCACCAGATTTTTTTAGATACTTCATTCATTTGGAATAGAATCTTCATAAAATCCTTTTTCTCTTTCTTTAATTTATATATATATATATAATCATATATTTATCAAAAAAACAAAAATAGACAATGACATTTTTTATATAATAATAATAAGATATGTATAAACAGTAAAGTATTAAGGTTGATGTTATAACTAGAAACAATTGAAGAAGAAAAAAAAAATACCAAAAGGTAATTGTCCATCATCCACAAGTCTAGCCTCCCCACTAATTGATTAAAGGCCAGTTAGGTCCTACTAACCAAAGGCCAAAAAAAAAAATAATTGATGAAGCCTAGCTGCTATGTTGTTGTTGTTGCATACCAAATCAATTATTTGTAAGCCCCCCCACTCCCATAGCCCAAATTAATGTTTTTCTCTTTTCAAAAAACCAAAAGAAAAGAAAATAAAATTTTTTTTAAAAAAAAAAAAGAAGAAGAAAAAGAAGGAGAAAGAAAGAAAGAATCCATCTCTTACATTTTTCATTCTTAATAATAATTCATTTTAAACAGTCCTTCCACTTTCCAAACTCCCTCCATATTTCTCCCCTAAATCAATCTCCTCACTTAAAAGGCCTTTAAGCCCTTCTTCTCTCTCATTTTACTCTCCAAAAAAAAATTTCTCTTTCTTTTCTCTATTCCAAATGGCATTTTCTCCAAGAAGAAGAAAAAACAACCCATTTCTGGAACTGAGAATTCAAGCAGTATCATCAACAATAATAATCCTACTACTCCTCTCTTCCTCAGTCTCTTTATCTTCTTCCCAACAAGAACAACCACCTCTTTCCATCCATGACCTGCTTAAAACCAGAGGCTTGCCAGCTGGGCTTCTCCCAAAAGACGTGAAGAATTACACGCTTTCAGAGACGGGGCTTCTAGAAGTTCACCTTGAAGGCCCTTGTTTAACCAAGTTTGACACCATGGCCTTTTATGAAAGCGTGGTTAGAGGTAACCTCTCTTATGGTGGGTTAACTGGAGTTGAGGGTTTCTCCCAAGAAGAGCTTTTTCTTTGGTTGCCAGTTAAAGACATCATTGTGGATGATCCAAACTCTGGTTTGATCCTGTTTGACATTGGTTTGGCTTACAAACAGCTTTCTTTCTCCCTCTTTGATGATCCTCCCGACTGCAAAGAAAGTAGTGGTGAGTTTGATTTTTTTGTTTAGATTTTTTTAATTAATTAACAACGATAATATTTTGGTTAATTTAAGTTAGCATAGAGTTTGGAATCTTGAAGAATATTGGTGAGGTAATAGAATTTTGGTCTGATTCTGCTACATTTTATCACAAGTACAACTCATGTCAACACATGCGACAAGTATTCAACAGAAACCCGAAAAATAAAAAAAGGAAGAAAGGTTGAATTTGCTTTTTGAAATGTCACTTCCCAATCTTATTAAACACTTGTGTGTAATTTTCATTTCATTTTTTCATGTCTCCATCTTTAGAGAAGGCCTTTTTGTTTGTTTCTTTGGTATGGTAAGTTTTCTTCTTTTTTTTTTCTACTCAAAATTCGAAAAAGGTGTTAGTATTTATCCTCTCCGATATGTGATTGTGTGGTGAAATTGGTGGTGCCGAATTTCGTTTGCCATTCCTAGTTTCTTTTTTTTTTTTAATGTGTTGGTTCATTTTCATTTTACGTTTCAAAAAACCACACAGATAATGAAGCATGTGGTGCTTGGCTTTGGCTCATTAATTTCCATGAATTTAGGACGCTGAAAATTTAATTACACATTTATGACGGCTGAAATCGTGATAGAAACCGTATATTTAATTTGTGGACTATACAAAGAGTGGATAGAGATAGATCTTCAATTTGGCGATAAATCAATCTCTGTATGTTCGTCATGCCTAAGAGATAGTATTACATATAGTGAATTACTAGTAAAAATATAAGATTTATGGACCCTTTATCGAATATTCCTGCTTCAATCCAGTGTTATTGCTGTCAAATTCTTATTCTGGTTACAGTTGTATCACCTAAGAAGGTACTCCCTCCGTCCCGTAATTATTGTCCAGTTTGAGTTTTCATTTTTAGTTCAAAATGTATTAAAAATAAAATGTCAAACTGGACAATAATTTTGGGGCAGAGGGAGTATATAATTCCAAACAACTTCATAAGGAAGATATGTATAAAACAACAACTTCATAAGGAAGATATGTATAAAACAATATGATGATCCTTAAATAAAAAATAATCACAAATTTGATTTTTTTTTTTTTCAAGTCTTTTCAATGAAACGGACATATGATGTACCATAGCCAATGTCTAGGAAAAAAGGAAATTTCCAAATTCCTAAGGTAGCTTCTTTTGGTTATTGTTGTTATTTCCAATTTTCAATTTTCTTGTTGTACTAAATATTCACATGATGTGTGAATCCAAAATTTGAAGCACCTGCTCAGGAGGATCTTCAGATTCTTCACGGGTTGGTTGCTTCATATGCTAATTGCTAGCTTCTATATTTCTAGCTTTTTTCTTCTTTAATTTTTTTTCCCATAAGTTGGTGAAAAGAAAAAAAGGCCATCATTTTCTATATTCTGATTAGTCTGTATTGATGTGATAATACTAGGTGTTTCAGAGAAGGTTGCTGGAAAAGGAGGAGGATTTGCAGCTCAAAGGTAGAAAAAAAAGAAAGAAGAAGAAGATGCCACATTTTCCACTTTTTTTTTTATAGTAACTATAACTTTAGTTACAGTTGTTAATTAACTAGAACAATAATTATCTTAAACTAGGGGCGGCCAGTTTTAAGATTAACAGTTTAAGTAGTACCACTGGCATTAGATGTTGCAGTTAGAGAGAGATGCATAGTTTTAAAAAAGATTTGGAATATCAGAGATCTTTTCTGATAAGATTTTAATTAGTTACTAAGTTTCTGCCTTTGTCTTTTCATTTGTTTGTTTGTAAATCAAATCATCCATCCATCTCTAAACAACAAAATCACATCAAATCTCCAACTCTTTGGAGCACTATTTTACATTCTTTTTATAACAAAGAAATAAAAAGGTTTTAAGCACCACCATGACAAAATCTGAAACATCCCGGAATGTTCTTGTTAGCTTCCTCTAATCAAACGAGGAATAAGTAAAACAAATTTAGGGGAAAAAAAAAAAACCCCCCAAAAAAATGTACTTGAAAAAGAAAGAAAGAAGAAGAAAAATGGCATGCCCATTTCTAATCATAAATGTTTTGGTCCACAGGAAATTACTGATGTTGCCGTGCACCATGGCAATGGTAGTTCATTTTCAGTGTCCTTTGTATTTATTTTTGTCATTGTGGAGTGGACCATGTATATATAATGCATGTTCCTATGTATTCATCTATGAAAGATCAATTACTTGATCCCCTATTGAATTATTGAGCATGTGACCGTGGTCAGTAACTAAGATGTTGTAAATTACTTCATTTGTCCTAAAATACTCCTTCATTAGTTGCAAGTTCTTTAGAACCCGGAGAGTGTTACACGATCTCTACAATTAGCGAGTTTTGAACGCTTTTAAAAATGAACGTGTAAAATATAATTGTTACGTCATTGCTCAATCCCTATAATGATGTTTTGCAAAAGTAAAAACTTGATCAATACATAACGTAACATGTAGCATAACATGTAGATATCGAGTAATTACTGTTTAGTTTTGGTACCTTTTGTTGATCTTCTTCTTAGAATTTTGCTTTTACTAGCAACATAATTATGTTTATTATTCTTATTAGAAAGAGAGATGGAGAGATTCACAAGTCAAACACATGAATCTAAATTGAGTGAGAGCCCACTAAAAGCCCACAATGTAAAAGAAAAGAAAAATGTAGGGCAGAGGCATTCGTTTTCATCTTATTGATTGTTGTGTTTTCATAATTGTGTCATGGGCCTGGCGCAGATACCCTTTCATTATCAACTTGTTACATCACCCATAAAATCCTTTTTTATTATTATAACAAGCAATTTGATCCAACAATAATAAAGATAGTAATTGCAAGAGACCTTGGTCACGATAACTCAACTTATATAGATCTGAGACGTTTTCTTTTTTATTTTTGTGTGACAATTTATGATGCAATATTAAAAATTTAAACATGATTGTACCGCGAAACGGACAACTAACTGGGAAAAAATGGTGCAAGTATAAAATAAATTTTTTAAAAAAGGTAGATAAAATGGAATATAATTTGATAGTACCCTCCAATCCTCCATTTTGTAGAAACAGTAAAGCAAATTGGAAAACTTTGTTTGGTTTAAAGAACTAAATATTCTTGTTTCCGTCTCAAAATGAGTTTGTATGTATTTTGTTAAGGAATGTGATGGGAGAAGAGGGTGTTTTTTCTTTCTTTTTTTTCCTTGTGTAATCTATTAGTTAGCCTATATTACAAAGAGATGGAGAGCTGCGGTGGAGCGAGGATGTGTAGAATTGGTTTTGCTTAATTGGGAAGGGAAACAACAGAGAACGACAGCAATACATTTTCATCTTCACAATAAGCTCAGCCTCAGCTCAGGCCGTCTATACTGCCCCAACATCTTCACTCCACATTGCCCACTGAGGCCTGTACCACCACCAGACTTGTCCTTTTTTGACGGGCCCTCTCATGCTCCTTGGGAAATAGAGAGTTTAAATTTGGCCCAACTCATTACCAGTAGAACCTTCTTTTTTCCAAAACAAATAGACAGATATTTTTGTAATTTGGCAATGTTAGAAAACATAGTTGAGTATAATGGAATGATGAATCTACTCCATAACTTGTGAACACTTACATTTAGAAAAGATATATGTGTACTAGTATTCCCTAATCATGATTTGATTCTCGAGTAAATCTTTTTTTGAAAGAGTTTAAAAAGCTGAGCATAGTACAACTTTAAAGTCTACTTGAGTAGGAAGCTTCTTCGTTCACTTGGACTTCCAAATGAACTGAAAAGCCGTACTACATTTGTCTGTCAAAACATGTAATCCCACAAAATAACTTGGACATAATAATGTGATAAATACTAGCTGTAAAACCACGGAGGTAGATTTGGCCTCAACATAAAAAAAGGGGGAAATTACTGTAAATAAATTTTGGTACTCTGATTTTCCGTGACAAAAAGATAAATCATGAAAAAAGAAAAAAAAAGAGTCGAATCAGCAAATTAATGCAACGAGGTTATGCCACGTGGAGGAAGACCATGACTGTAGGAGAGACCTTCACTCTTTCACCTCAATCTTTGCTTTTTTTTTTTTTTTAATTTATCAATGACGTCAGCACCGATTTTGGATAATAAAAAAGATGAATCCTTTTCATACTCACACTCCGATTCTCATTTCCTGATTTCTCTCTCCGTTTTCCCCCCATTTGATCATTTCCCCTTTTCCCATCGTTTAGGTTTTTATCTTTTCTTCTATCATCGCCCACAAAACCAACAAAAATAAATTCATTATGGGTGGAGGAGCGGCGATGAGAGCGGCCGCGAAAGCTGCCGGAGCGGGTATTCTCAACAATGGCCTCCGTATTGTCGTTCCCGATTACTCTGCCTCTTCTGCTTCGCGTAAAGTTATTCAGCTTCAGTCTATGTCTGTCTCCACGTCGGCGAACGCCGTCAAGACGGATATTTCCGATCCCGACACGGTGCCTGTGCATCGGCCGTGTTGGGAATTCGAGGACTGGGAATTGGCCGGCGGCGATGAGGAATTATCCGGCCTTACTCAAGAAGGGTTTTCCAGGCTTGTCTTTGGCGCTGCCCCGTCGCTTGATGAAGCCCAAGAGGCCACTTCCGAACTCAAAGACGTTCTTGACAAGTACTTTCTCTATTTTCGGTTATTTTCCCTTTTTGTTTTTTTTTTTGGACATCCATTTTTGTTCGGCCAAAATTTTCATCGTTTCGGGGTTTAGTTTTTGCGTTCTTTGCCGGAATCGTATTCTTTAAATGAAAAATTGATCCTTTCGGGTCTTCCATACAAAATTATGTGATTCCTATTAATTAAGCATGGTCGCCTTATTAGTAATTGAAGGAAATTCTCTGCTTTGCTTTTTGTGATGTTACTTAGTTTAGTTTTCACTTTGGGCAAAATCCGTTTGCTGTTTATTGTTGTACTGTAGTATCTTTCTGTCATAGTTTAGTCACTTACAAGCTCTGTTCTGTTACTGAACGAATGTAGAACCCATCTCCGGTGAAGAATTGGATAAAAACTCCGTGTTTTTTTTTTTTGTCAACCCCAGAGTGATTTAGGTATTGCATTTATATAATTTGGGAGTTGCAAAGTTTATTCAATGTATTTCCCTCAATTCTCAGGGCTTATCTGTCTTCTCCTGTGTCACCACGCTCGTGGCATTCACAATCAGAGGTATCAGATACCAAACCATTGCGGAGCAGTGAGAAGGTTCTTGCTGCATCCTCTCCAAAGCATGCAATGGAAGCATTCAAGTTTTTGAATGAAAGCCCTGCTGTTCAGGTTGTTGTTGATCTTTTGTTGCTTTTTAACTTGTTACTTTGTGTTGTTGCTCACTAGCATTGACGTTATTTTGTACCTCTGGTGAGCATTTCCCATCGCCTGTTTGTACAAATGGTTATGCCATGGAAAGTTTGGTTCGAGCTTATCTCTTTTGTACGGAGTATCATGTTTCACTTGTTTACTTGGAGCCTTAGTCTCTGCTCAATCTTTTTTGTGTTTTTGACATCTTAACTGGCTCCTTATAGAATGTCCTTTTGTGTGCTTGACATCTTGACTGACTCCTTGTAGAATGTTGTTGCTTCAATTGCATGCGATCCGAATGTGTGGAATGCAGTGCTGCTTAATCCTACTCTTCAGGAGTATATACAGTCACAAAATATTGGTAAGAGTAGCAGGTTTCACCTTTGTGTCTGCTGCTTATTGGGTCCTCGTGGTATTTAGTATGACATCTATCATTGCTTTCAGGTGCTTTTGGCGTTGATCAATGTGAAAATGAGTTGACCGGAACTGATATTCTTTCCCCAAGATCTCATCAGAGGCATGATGGTGCTGATGACCCTGGGGAATCCAATCCCTCAATTGGGATTGTTGATTACTTGCGGGAACTTAAACTTACCGTGGTTGACATGCTGAGCAACTTGGGTGACTACTTCCAGATTCTGTTTGGTGGATATGATGGCGAAAATAATAGTAAAGGCACAATGTCCAGTTTTGTCGACAAGGCTCTAGGACCTTCATTACTTGGCTTGGCCATAATGGTTATACTGGTGGTTGTGCTGAAGAGAGCTCACTGATATTTATTTATTCGACGAAGCTACGGTTACATTTCACAGAGCTTATGGAGAGGATGTCCAAGATAGCATCGAAGTTGCTTGTGTAGATGGTTGTGAAAACTTCTCGTTTCTTTCGAGTTTCTATACATCACTTTGGGTCTTATCATTTGTCATCTTCTTGAATAAATACAGAGTAATTTATTTGTTTCGTTGGAAACTTTTTGTAATGCTTAGTGAAAATGGTTGATGTTTCATAAATAAATAGCACAGTTCATTATTTTACTACTTGCTGCAGAAATGCCACACTGGTTAATTTAGAGCACCGTCCATGCAGCGTTATAGTTTACCTGTGATGCGAATTTAGGGTTTTCGAAGGTAGATGTTTTATTAATTTTTAGAAGGTGGAACAGTGTCCTGTCTCTCTTATTAAAACAGGAATGAGGTTAATTTAGTGTGGTGGCGCTATCAGTCTCTGTTAAGAGTCTCAACATGCAGTCCCTAGCTTTTGGAAGGTATGATCATCAGATCATGTCTTTTCAGAGGGGTATAGCACGTCTGTTATTAAAAAAGAAAAAGAAAATAAGGATAAACTAACAGAGGCCAAAACATTCAATGTCCACACTAAATCAACCTTAGACAATATTACCGACCAAGATATCTCATTTTATATCAATGAAAGTATGCCATTGTAATTTACTCTTTGAATAGTATAACCTCAAAATGGATACATTATGTAACTTTCGCTACATACAACTTTTGCATTCTGGTATACTGGAGCGCCATTGCCAGATACCAAATTGTGGGGGTGTATAACTATCCCTCGTGTCAAAGTTGTTCACAGCTACTGTCAGAAATTTCGTACTACATTGCATATCTCGGAAAATTATTCTACAAAATTGATCAGCTAACCAGCTAGAGAAAACAATATTACAAGCAAAGATGATGTGAAATGAATCAAATCGTTATACCCCAAGGGGGCCTCTTCTCTACACATCTCCGTTAGACTTTGTAGGGTCAATTTATTGTAGTCGTGGTGGTCAATCAGCATCATCTCAACTGGGGATGAACATGATATCCGATGGTTCCAAATGCATCTTGCCTTTATCACGTCTAACATTCGTTCTTTTTTGGTCAGGTTGACCCCGCTGCACAAAGAAATTGACTCAAATCAGGAGGGGCTTGAAAATCAGCCAAGTTAATGCAACTTTTACACTTCCACTCAATTGGAGTCTGTGTATTCGCATTTGATATCAAAGAGTAAAGCAAGCAATAGATGTTAGAGATTCCATCAAAACATATTCGATCTTTACCTTCCGCAGAGCAAATGCCAAATATAAGTATGCAACCTCCCACTCATCAAGTGATAATGTGCCTGAGTACAACCATCACCACAAGAATTTGTATCAGAATTACTTGGATACAATTCATTTCTAACCTTCAAATCGTTCAAGCTCATTATGGAATTGTGAAACTTACTACGGTCGTTGTTACCGTCACCTAATGCACCAAGCCTTCTCATGAGCTCAATGAACTCGGGTTTCTTCATATATTCGTGCACAAAAGCATGAGAGTTTTTTGCAAAAACTAGCTCCAAGTCATACTGCATGGTCAAAATGCAGAAAAGTTTCAGGAGAAGCTTCCACTAAACATTCCGAAAATAGGTTTAATGAGCCTAGAAGAGGTCAGCATGTAGACACTACATTAAGTATTAACCTATAAACCATTGAAGTTACCAGTGTTCATATTTTGACATGACTCAAGAGCATTTGAAAAAACATATTAGAGGTCAGTTCACTTCCATGCTTGCTGCGAATCATTTTGCTAATATATTTACATTTCAGGTTCCACAGAAATGTTGTGCTTAGATAATGCAAGAACAATATCAAGGTTCAAGGATCTCCAAGTCTTGGGACAAAATGAAACAACAATTTTCATTATAACCATGACAAAATATGCACTCATTTGAGATGGATGCAAATGTTCAAAAAACCAATCATACCTCTTCGGCCATTGACTTGAAGACATGAAAAGGTACAATCCACTCGGGGCAATCAACTGCATCCTGAAAGAAAATGCGGGATCATTTATATATTTGTTTCTGATAAGATGGAGATGAGCCAGATATAGCCATCTAGAAAAATCACAGGAGTTGTGAATTTATAAAATGGGATTCCAAAATCCAATGGAGTGGTGAACAAGCACAACGGGTACCTCTAAATGAAATTTGTACTTGATACCGAAGGGACTGGAAGACTTGAATTTCTGCCAAAATAAAATAATCAATTAAAACTAAGCTCTATCCTTGGTGGTTGCAATCCCCAAAATACATAAATAAAAATACCTTCTCTGAAAATTCCTCATCAAAACGTATCCAGAAGACACTATTTCCAAAAGCTAACCCTTCAGCTGCATTATTCAAATAATTGGAACAAATGATTATCTTTTTTTGGTTAATTCAAATAATAATGCATGTAATACATTCCCATATTTCAGGTGGCAAAGCCTGAAACTTTCCATAAAATAAACAATATTCTCTACATAAAAGCTCAAAATGACTAGCATAGCAAATGAGAGTTACTTCTCAGTAAAAGAGTCACAATTTCGAGAATTAGACAACTTCAGAAATTTTTCTGAAAGCCTAACTTTGCTGTAAACCAGTCATGTTATGATAGCCAAAGGTAACAAACTAAACATTACAGAAGTAAAACCATGTTAACAGATTGAAGAAAAGACTATCAAATCAAGGATTAGGGAGGAAAAAAAAGATTGTAGTAAAATGGTGCAGGAAATAAGTTCATGGATCATGCTATTTTCCAACTTGTACAATATTTAGCACGAAAAACTTGAAAACAGGATATCAAGGAATGGAAGCCACAGGGAAGAATAGCACTGCTTAAGAAAAGCAAGAACCATGCTTTTACACAAGCCATTGAGAGTAACATTAACACCAGGATAAATAAAAAAAATTTAAGAAATGAAACCTTCACGAAGCTTTTTAACAATAACATTGGCATCTGGCATTGTTCCAATAAAGATGCCTCCAGGGCGAAGCAAAGCTGATACATTTGCCAAGGCCCGCCGTGCACGTGCCTCTGTAGACCATGAGTAATGCATGGCAAACTGCAAAATTGCAGGTTCAATGGTTTACGACTACAATTATCTAAGATGACAATACCTCTAAAAAGCTCTTAGCATGACCTCTACTTGAATATCTATGTGTCTTCCAGGTTACTCAAAATAAGCACCAGTGACCAAACAAACCTAATCAAATAAAAGTTAAAGACAACCATGTAACGAAACACTCAAGGACTTCCCAGTTTCTTAATTGTGATTAACTAAATAACTGAACATGGCTTTGGGAGCAACAAACTTATTAAGAACATTGAAAACAAAATGGCTTGTGTTATGACAGAAAATATGTATTACAATGTCTTCAGTAGATAGGTGTATTCAGAGGGAGAGAGAGAGGACTCACCTGACAGCTACAAACATCAAAGGGAGCGTCATCAGCAAGAACATTATCCAAGTCAACCTGAAAGTCAAGAGGGTGAACCAAATTACATAATAATTATGAACAGTTAGGTTTGCCCAGTGAAGTGTCCACAGGAATTATTAGAAGATCTGAGACAGAGATTGCAATATCCAGGTGGCGCAACTAATTTGCCAAGGAGATAAATTTAAACAATTCAAGATCATATACCTCAAAACAATCTGCACAGATAAGTCTGGCAGGAAATGATAAACTTTTTCTACGCCTATGCTGATCTGCATCTCCATTATAACGCACGCGGCAGTCTTCTATCTGCAACTCTCCACAAATAAGGATTATAATTTTAATAATTCCAACATTTTTCTGAAACAAAACACTGCAAGCCTTCTTTTGTTCAACAAAGCACAAACCCGACAAGCAGAGAAATATTCTCTGGAACCTAACGAGTTGTTAGTTAAGCACTTAGCAACTCATTGACTTAAAAGCTAAATTGTGTAACTATTTCCATTGCAGCAACAAAGAACAGATTACTAAATCGAATATCATCAGCTTCTTAGAAAACCACAGGACTTAAAAGATCAATCTAGATGAAAAGCCTTAACAGTAGGGCCTCAAATTGTATAATCAGAAACTAAATTGGACTCTTGAAGAAGAAAACAGAGGAATTTACCGAGCCGTCTGCAATATCAATGCCAACATAATAACCAACTCTGGCTTTGTCCCATTTGATCAAATCACCACCCTGTTTAAGATTGAATAGAAGATAGAAAACACGTTATTCTTCCACAAAGTTGGCTACAAAATGGGGAAAAAGATCATCCATGACAAACATATTCGGTCCGAAAAGTTCATATAATAGTTCCACATTTTCATTAAACCAGGTGGTACCTTTCCACAAGCGAGATCAAGAACTACATCCCCTTGTTTGGCATACAATTGAATTAAAACACTTTTAATCTGCATGAAAGCCACAAAGATATAAGATAAGTTGGAGCAACTCAATGAACAAAATGACCAATTGCAACTCTCTAATTTAATACATACCCAATTGTTAAGCTTCTTTAAATGAATAATTGGACTAGCTTCTCGCTCTTCCAATGTCTGGTTGGTTCTTGAACTGTAATGATCGGCAACTTTCCTGGCAAGGTCATTAGCGGGAAAATGTGCATCCGCTAATTAAGAGCAAGAAAAAGAAAGAAACAAAGTGAGATTAAAAAGAAAAGGACAACAACAAAAAAAAACACTATTATCTCTACTCCTATGAACCAATGTAGCCCGATTATGCCAGATATTTCGATTCCAGCAATTAAAATTTGCACCCATCCACGAATAAACGCTGAAGTAATGGTTAACAATTACTCAGATCACTCGGTAAGAGAAATATAAGAAACTTCCCGAAAATCCAATTTTAGCAAAGCGAAACCTACTTCCCCACCATTAAAAGGAAAAACTGGGGTTTCAATTATCTGGGATGTCAGAAAAGAAAATTTTGATTAAATACGAATATTACCTTCGGGACTGTATCTGGCTTTTGATTGAGGTGATCCAAAAGACCCAGAAGACGAAGATTCATAATAGCCTCGCTTCATGGCTCTATGAAGCTGAACAAAAACAGCTTATGCGTATGGGAGGCTGCCGAATCGGAAGTAGGTTACAGATTTAATCCAAGTTGTGTCGGAAACCAATTCAGTTGACAGTTGGGTATGGAGTAAAACTCTAAAGAATGGAGGGAAAAAGAAACGTTCTGCAGGATGCAAACAAGGTGTTTGATTGATGTCTCTGAGAAAGAGTTTATAGCGCTGAAAGATGGGCGTGTCCTTTCTGGGACAGAGGTTTTTCGGCAACGAGATACGTTCGTTGCTGTTGGTTTTCTTTTCTATTTGGGCCGTCATTAATAATTAAAGAAAGTAATAATATTATTATCATTTTGAAGTAAATAATAACATTTATTATTATTATTTCAAATAATATAAGGTTGTATTATCAGTCTTCCTGGAATTTTAATTTAAAAAAAGAAAAGAAAAAAGGTCTCTCCGAAATTTTCAAGTACCTGAATTTTATTATTTTTACTAAGATTATTTTATCATCCCATCCAACCCTCTAATAGTAAAACTTTTAGGAAAAAAACAATTGTAATCGAAATTAAGCTACTCTCCCTTGGTTACCAATTAAAACAATTTAATTTTATTTATTATTTTTCTATATTGTAGGTGTTTACCGTTAGCAATAATGACTAATTTTGAGTTTACAACCAAAATTATATTGAATATTGGACATAGTTTGTCTAACAAAAACGATAAGTTAACCTAATGATTTTGAATGACACAACCCCTATTTTTGAAAGGCTATATCAATATTTTTATCATTGTTTGTCTATTCAATATTTTTTTTGAATAGTTTGTCAATATTTTGGACATGTTGAATGGTGATTACAAGCAAGGACATGTTTGGCCAAAGAAGACAGTATAGAATCAACCATCTTTCTCATGCCAATTGTTTTTCTTTAAGTGATCCTTGATTTGGTACTTCACAACCAGCATTCCACTTACCAAATGACCCCAATCTTGCAGTCCTTTATATGAGTATATTATATTAGTTGTGTTAAAGTTCATTGATGAACACATACAACTTGAATCACATTCAACTATTCAATTGAATATCAACCTCATTCATGTATAGTTGTGGTATTACAATAGCTATTGCATTTATGTACTGCTACATCAATACATTTGTCTCTAACGTAAAAGAATCTCATAATTGGGCGTATCCAAGTTCTGTGTTTGATCCCAGCATATTTTTAAACCACTGAACAGAAGACTTGGGTAGTCTGGTAAGGTTGTTATTGAAATCCACATAATATAGTCCGAATCGTTTAGTATATCCCATGTTCCATTCCCAGTTATCCAGCAATGACCACGCGAAATACCCCTGGACATCGCTTTTGTCTTCCCTGCATTTGTTTGTTTTTGTTTTCAGGTTGTTAGTTAGTCAAGAATCAGGATGACATTGCTCCAGCTCCAAAAATTGAAATGGCCATTTTAGACAGTTTACCTTATAGCAGCTGACAGGTTTGATAGGTAGTCCCTATAATAATTTATCCTCTTCTGGTCTTGTAAAGCCTTCTCTAGTGATATATGAGATGGATCATCCATACCTGGAATTTCGTACTTTTTTTGAGGCTTGTAATTTGAAGGATAGCTTTCTACTTGGTCTAGTATCATCATTAATCAATCGGTCAGATAGACTCACCGTTTTCTGTGATGATCACTGGTGGATTGCCATATTTCTCATTGATGTGCTTTGTTAGCTTCCTGAGACCCCATGGGACGATTCGCAGCCAATACGATGCAGCCTGGAGAAAAAAGGATATGCACTTTAGCACTTGTGCAAGTTCAGCACTGGTCTGGCTGTTTCAATTTTCGCCTGAAATGAAAGGCTAGAGAAACATTACCTTTTCTCCAATTGCAACGCCGCGTCTGTAAGCTAGATCAGGCGCAAACATGTTAGTCCAAAATTGGTATGTATTTTCCCCATTCCATCGGATCAGTACTTGTGTACTATGATTCTGTTTAGATTAAGTTTACCTGAGGTTATTACAGCAGAGTCAGAAGCCGCATCCCTCAGTACCAGCTTCTTAAACCTTGTTCTGTCATTTCGGGCGTATAAAGTGGTATAATGATTTATGCCCACAAAATCCAAGGATCCTTTCAGCAACTTTGAGACTTGAGGAGTGATCTTTGGTAATCTTTCTTCCACCAGCTTCTGCATTGAAACAGGATAATTCCCAAGAAGAAGTGGATCAAGGAACCTGATTCACTTACTGTGTGTTACAAAAGCCACTTTAATTCCTCAAATTTTCATGGAAAATGTGGTGTCATAGTAAACATTAATGTAAAGTTCTATTACCATCCAAGACAAAAATCGATAGCTCTACTTGCAGCATCTCTGTCCTCATCGCAATCAGACATTGGTTCGTACCATTTAGAATCCAGTGCAATGCCAATTTGGCCTCCTTGACTTTTCTGCACATTCAAGAATCTTATAACATTTCTCCGTCTCAAAATGATTCTCCTGTTTGTCGTACTAAAGAACTTATATCAAAGTTCTAATAAAAAATTTACCTTGAAATTCTTGTGGTAGCGATGGTAAACAGCAGCATGTGACAACAAAATATTGTGGGCTACAACATATGGTTCATCAGATGACTTCCCTTCCCTACAAAACAAATGTCCTACAATTGAACATCTCCCTGGAGCTTGAACACCCAAGTCATAACCTTGAATTGCAAAACCACGAGGCTCGTTGAATGTGATCCAATGCTTCACTCTATCCCCAAATGCATTGAAACATGTAATGGCATATTGTTCAAAATCCTTGCTGCAATGACAGAAACAAAAACCAAAAAAATAAAAATAAAAATCGAGTCATCAAACTTAAAGTGATTACATACGTGGCGAGAAGAAAATGAATTTGGAGGGTTATTATTATACATACACAATCTGAGAATCCAGGAATCCTCCATATGCATCCTCAAGTGACTGTGGAAGGTCCCAGTGATATAAAGTTGCATAAGGCTGAATTCCTGATGGAAAAAGACCATCAAAAATTTTCACAGTAGAGTATGAATACTGGATACTGAATAATAAACACTAATAAAAGTAAATTTTCAAGAATACAGTTGACTAGCGAACCTTTTTCCACCAAAGAATCAATAAGATTATTATAGTAATCTATTCCTTGTGGATTTGGTACACCAGTTCCATCTGTTTAAACCAACAACCAGTCAGAAACAGACACGAAAAAAACTTCCAACGGATAACGATAAGACAGGAAGAAAGCAGCTACTTTCAATAAACGTATTCAATGGGAAACTGTAAAGCTTTTAAGAGAATTCCAAGGAAAGTCTTACTGGGATAGATTCTTGACCATGATATGGAGAATCTGTAAGCATCCATTCCTAAATCCTTCATCAAGTCTATGTCACTCTGTAATTTCAGGAAAAGAGGTAAATAGTCAATTTGATCAATGAGATATTTTTTTAAGTATGCGTGTGTCAATCAACTGCCTTCTTAGATGCCATTCTTCTTATTCTTATCTTGTACATTTCCCTACATCCCATGTTGGAATTTCTTTTCGGTAAAAGTTTTTCTCAGTGGAGCTCAATAATTACTTTGAACTAATCAAAGTTTTGTTAGTTAATTTCTTCCTCCTCTTGGCTCAACAAAATTCATATGTAATTATTAGTCCTTAAATTGGGACTAAATTTAGCATTTATTTGCATGTGAAAGTGGAAGCTGATGATGCTCAGAGTATATCCCTTAAGCGCAGCCATCTGAGTCGGTGACAGTGATGATTGCTTCTGGTTTTGGTTTCCCGATTCCCAGAGTTTTTTTTTTTTTTTTGGTCTCACCATAAGAAGAGAGGTATATAAGATGAAAAGAATCTGAGACCTTGAAACGATGGTACTGATCAACTGCAGTATTTGCATTGCTGAAATCAACTACTCTCCCTAGTTTAGAAACAAAACAGAACCAATTCATTCATCAGAACCCATCCTTTTCAGATACCATGAAAGCCAAGAACAAGAACAAGGTTCATTCTGATTAGAACCAAACCTGGCAGCTTTATGAAGGTATCCCATATGCTCGGACCTTTGTTTCCTTCATCCACTGCTCCTTCAAACTGGTATCAAAACACAGAAAATATGATTTCTTATTTAGCACCAAAACAGAGGAGGTGGAAACTGGAAGTAGACAAAACAGAGAAAACAGGAATACAATAGGTAGAGCTATGTATTCAGTATTCACACACACACACACACACACACACAGAGTATCACCTGGTAGGCTGAAGATGCAGTTCCAAAAGTGAACCCATGTGGAAAATCATCTCTGGTTAAGGATTCAGACTTCAGAAATACACATGTTAAGTACAGAGCAACCAAAATTGTTCTCATTTGGAGTGTTTTATTATATGGTCAATAAAAACAGAAGGAAAACTGAACTGAAAGTTTTTTGTTTTGGTTTCTGTTTTTGGACAAAGACTAATCAACATACATATATGCATATACATTTGCAGTGTAGGTGTGTTTATCCTAAGAAATTTAGGAATCGTGTAGGCTTAGTTGTAAAGGAGAAGGGAAGAAATATGGTTGAAGCCAACAAAATTGGATAAAAGAGAGCTTCTCTTTTGAGACAAGTCATTCTGGAGTAGTCCTAAGGCTTAGGAGGGTTGGACGTTAAAGCTATGTATGCCTTTTGCTTACACGTTATATGATGTGGACACTGACTCCCTAGCCACATCTACATTCCTGCTTCTTCTTAGCTACTGTCAAAACAATGAAACATTCGTGCAAACAAGTATCTAATCACAAAATCAAGCGTTTTTGAGTTGTATGCAGGTAGTTCTAAGCTAGAGTTCAATTCTTACCGCTATCAGCAATAATTTCTCAGTGCGAATTTTATTATAACATTTGGAATTTATAAAGTTTTATCGTAACAATTTTGTTCTATTTATGAAAATTATATCAATAAATAGAATAGGTGTGGTGCTAACAACAACTCCTTCTAGTCATATATTTAGATTATTTTTAGTACTAATTCGTAATTTATAATTATGACGGAAGAATAGCATTTATGACATTAATTTATACTAAAAGTGAGCTAGGGCTGCTTAGCTAGGAGGATGATGATGATGATGATGATGATGATGGAGGGATCTAAACTGATTAATAGTTTAATCACTAAACTGATTAATAGTTTAATGTCTAGAAGAATAAGGTAGTTGCAAAGAATATGTTAATTTTGTGGGAATAGGTCTCACATGTGGACTAAACTGAGGGGGATGCTTGAGCGCCAGAATACGTGTCTCCGAGCTCATACGAAATGGAACAAAAAACAAAAGAACTAAAACATTGAAAGGTAAGTGTGCTTCGACCTTGAAGAGGTGTGGAAGTGTTTGCTGCTTCCACTTGTGATACTTCTAGACTTGAAGGGACTCCAAAATCAGCTAGACACGAAATCCGAACAAATTCCATCATCATTTTCTGGCACCGTTTAGTCTCTAAAAAATGGAATCAATTTTGAGCATTAGAAGCCAAGAAATGAGTTTGGTATTGGACAAACAGATTAAATCCCAATATTTGAGGGTTCAACATCTCGTCTATGCGTACTTCGTTCCAACATTATTTTATTGTGATGTAACTGTATAAATGTAGAACTTTTTTTGGGACGGAAAAAATAGATTATTATCTAGATCTAAAACACTATTTCATGTGTCTTATGAAAAATTGATTCTCATATATGTTACATGATTTCTCCAAAAAATTAATGGAAAAATGGTAGGAGCAGTGGCATTTAGCAAGGAAAATGGATCGGTGATTCGGTAAGCCTGATCAAACAACGTTGGATCATAGAGAGTAGTGAGTAGGCAAAGGATACGTAGAGGATGTAAGTAGTGACTACAGGCCGACGTGTGCCTGCTTATCCATTTTGTCATCTTTTCAACCACAACCGATCTAGAAGAAACTAATTACGTCTCTTCACCTATTTGCAGTTTATCTGGAGCTGCTAAATCCAAATTATTTGACATGATATCGGAGCTAGGATATCATTGTTTTGAATGTGCTAATCGTTGTGAGTTAATTTTGAATTGCTAAGATTAATTTTTTTGGTCTCTTCTACAATTGCAAAATTGGATTCGAAAAGGGTACACATGGTTTATATCTTTGAATTTCTATCTACAATGTGCTTTCTCAACATGTATAATTCTCATTGTAATAGTTATTAAGTACCTTTTTAAAAAGACATCAATAGATGCATATTATGTAGGGGTTTGGAAACACAAAGAAACCATGGCACCGATGACTTGATTCACTGGACAAACCTGATTCAGAATCTCGAACGAATTTGGCACTGAGAAGGACAAAAAATTTTTGGTTAAAAAAAAGAGTGAACCTCAAAACAAGTCATCAACCTTTAATATATTTCCACTTTAGGTCATCAATTAAATTTATTTGTAACACAGGTTACCTTACTAAAGTTTTAATCCATTTCAGATTACTCTGTTAATTTTGGCCGTTAAATAGTGACGGAAATTTATTTTTCACATGCTTTTGGGTTTAGGGGTATTTTTGTCATTTTATTATATTTTTATTTTTCGATTATTTTTCAATTTTTTTTTTACAATTCTTCTTTTGATACTTCCTAACTTGTATACACTGGTAGTATAATTCTAAATTTTAAAAATTTATTTTCCTTTTGTATTTTAACTTCTAGATTATAAAATTTTTTTAAAAAATTTAAGAAATGAAGAAGAAAAATTCGAGTTAAAATAAAATGAAAATTAATAATTTACCATTTCAAACAAAAAGAAAAACTAAAAGAATTAGCTAAGACAAGTTGTTTCTTCTAGGTTATTTAATATTTTTCAACTCGATTGAATTATTTAATTATTAATTTTCACATTTCTTATTTCTTTTTTTTATAATCTAGAAGTTAAGATACAAATGACAAACAAATTTATTTTTGAAAATTAATTTGTCATTTGTATATTAACTTGTAAATTATTAAAAAAAAAGGAATAAGAAACGTAAAAATTAATAATTAAATAATTCAATCGAGTTGAAAAAAATTAAATAACCTAGAAGAAACAACTTGTCTTAGCTAATTATTTTAATTTTTCTTTTTGTTTAAAATGGTAAATTATTAATTTTGATGTTTAGTTTAACTCGAATTTTTCTTCTTCATTTCTTAAATTTTTTTTAAAAAATTATATAATCTTGAAGTTAAAATACAAAAGGAAAATAAATTTTTAAAATTTAGAATTATACTACCAGTATATACAAGTTAGGAAGTATAAGAAGAAGAATTGTAAAAAAAAAAAAAATAAATTTAAAGATTAAAAAATAAAAAAAATAAAAAAATGATAAAAATACCCCTGAACCCAAAAACAAGTGAAAAATGAATTTCCGTCACTATTTAACGGCCAAAATTAACAGAATGATTTGAAATGGATTAAAGCTTTAGTAAAGTAACTTGTGTTACAAATAAATTTAATTAATAACCTAGAGTGAAAATATATTAAAAGTTGATAACTTGTTTTGAGGTTGATTCTAAAAAAAAGTCACGCTGGTTTATTGCTGAAATTGCGCATTCTACAAAGCAACAAATTGGTCTAGCAAATCCACATAAATGTAGAACTGATTTGGCCCAATCAATTGGTACCAGTTTGGCTTACGAGCTGTTATATTATTGCCTCAAACGACATACCGCCATCAAATTTCATTCAAATGTCGCTTTTGAGAAGGAATAACAAGCCTTGGATAAGGCTACTTAGTGGTCTCTGTAGTCTGCAATTGCACCAACAAAACAGCCCTCTAAAACAAGAAGTTATCATCAAACACTATTTCTACATCCACGTGTATTTATAACACAAAATAAATTGCCTTGTAAATAAGATGAGAGGGGATACCAAGATTGTCTATCCGGGTACAGAGTTAACAAAAGCCAGCTGAAACAAGGAATTGCGCGACCTTATTTCTCGTAACATGAAAATGTGAATAAAAGCTCCCAAGATATTATTAACAGTGCTGCCGTTTATTCTCATAGAATTCATCAGATTAAGAGTCCAGAGGATTCTGCGACATAGGTAATGATTTTTTTTTTTTATATTTTTAGTACTTACGAGAATTAAACAGGTACGTTGAGAAAGCTGATATATATAAGATAAATAGGGTGAGTTATGTATCATTTTGTAATTTTGGAAGAGATCTAGGTTATGATGTTTTTGCCGGACACGAAATTACACTGCGATTGGATCAAGACACCCTATATTTGTTCCCAAGTCGGTTCATCCATAAATAGTGGGCCGGATCTAAATAGCAGGCTACAGGCCCGTAGTCAATCTTCATCAATAACAGTGGTCCACCAGAAAGATAAACAATGAGGATGATTTTTTATAATAATAATAGAAAAAAAAATCACTAGCTTTTTAAGGATGATTTACAGTGAATTGCACATTTGAAATGATTACATGAACACTTTTAAACGAACTTCAATTAGCTAGGAAATTGTCAAATTGCAAACGTATTAATCCCTAACTCGGACATTGTTTTACTCTGAGAAAAATAAATGCGCATGGATGGTTATTGTTAATTGTACAGAGATATTAATTTAAAGAAATTGAGCTTTGGCGTTGTAGAAAATGTCTCGAAATTTAAGAGTGCAACAGTCGTAATATTGTACAATATAATATTTTAATTTTTGACAAATCTAAAATTCATGTAATTTAATTTTAATTGTATAATTTGGAGTTTTTTTTTTTTTTAGAAAAAAAAACTGGCTAATTGTAGAGGGGAAGAAAAGAAATAAAAATAAAATACGGACCCAGTTACGGACCATGTTAGCAGAGTCCAGCCCAACAAAGTCCAGAAACCCCAACCCAAACAACACACTCCTAGGGCTCCCGAAACATCATTTTTAAAGCCTCCCTTTCTCATTTGCCTCTTCTTAAAACCCTAGAAGAGAGCAGCAGTCTACTCTTTCTTTACCCTTTTTCCCCTCTCCCCGGCCGCATCCTTTCCCCGTCAAACCGAAGCCGGAGATTTCCAAATGGGTCGTGTGATCAGAGCTCAACGTAAGGGAGCTGGGTCTGTCTTCAAGTCCCACACTCATCACCGCAAAGGCCCCGCCAGATTCCGCACCCTCGACTTCGGCGAGCGCAATGGTTACCTGAAAGGAGTCATCACCGACATCATCCATGATCCCGGTCGCGGTGCTCCTCTCGCCCGCATCACCTTCCGCCACCCCTTCCGTTACAAGCACCAGAAGGAGTTGTTCGTCGCCGCCGAAGGAATGTTCACCGGCCAGTTTGTTTACTGCGGTAAGAAGGCCACTTTGACCGTGGGTAATGTTTTGCCTCTCAGATCCATCCCTGAAGGAGCCGTCGTTTGCAACGTTGAGCACAAGATGGGTGACCGAGGTGTGTTTGCTAGGGCTTCTGGTGATTATGCTATTGTTATCAGTCACAACCCTGATAATGGAACTACCAGGTATATTATCTATTCTGTTGGGCTGCTTTTTCTTTATTTTGATTTTTGTACAAATGGTTTTTGTTTTGATATTGTTAATAGTATGTATTTAGACAGTTTATCGGGCATGTGATTTTGTAGATGGTTTCTGACGGGCTGGTGATTTGATTAAGTGATTGTGAATTATAAAGTTTGATTGGTGCTTTTTCGGTTGAAGTTTTTAGCGTGCATAAATTTTTCTCTATGTACCCCTGGAATGTTAAATTATTCATTCAATCTGCCAGTTTCAATGTAATTTATGTTGTGGCTTGTTGTTTCTCTAGCTGTTTAGCTGTTTAGCTGTTTATGTGGTTTCTCGTTATCAAATGTGTTTATTCAGTACACATTGCCGAATGTATTAGTACCAAGCTTTTAAAGCTTGCTTAGATTCAGCATTTTGCATGAGGGTGTACATTTCTACCTGCAGCAGACACTTCCTATCGAATCAGTCTCTTTTGGAGACCTGCTTGTCTTTTATTCAGTTTCTTTTTGTTCAGTTTCTTGAGCTCTACTTCCATGGATAATTGATTAGTTTCGCTTGCTTCTAATTTAATCAGTTTATTCTATTCATGAACCTTTGTTAACACTACTGCTTGGTCACTTTGAAAATTTCATCATTGTTTTTTCTATTCAAGAACCTTTGTTAACACTACTGCTTGGTCACTTTAGAGATTTCATCATTGTTTTTTCTATTCAAGAACCTTTTGTTAAGCGCTACTGCTTGGTCCTTTTTGGGATTTCATGATTTTTTTTTCATAAACCTTAGTTAACACTGGTGCTTTTGTTAACACTAGTGCTTGGTCCATTTTGTGATTTAATCATTTTTTTTTCTTTTCATGAACCTTTGTTAACGCTAGTACATGGCCTCTTTTCATTATTTTTTTTTTCTTTTCATGAACCTTTGTAAACCCTAGTATTTGGCCTCTTTTCAGCAATTTTTTTTTTCTTTTCATGAACCTTTGTTAACGCTAGTATTTGGCCTCTTTTCAACAACCTTTTTTTTCTTTTCATGAACCATGTTCTAAGCAAAGTGGTCTTTGTTCATAGGGTCAAGCTACCTTCTGGTGCCAAGAAGATTGTCCCCAGTGGTTGCAGGGCCATGATTGGTCAAGTTGCTGGAGGAGGAAGAACTGAGAAGCCTCTCCTTAAGGCAGGTAATGCCTATCACAAGTTCAGAGTGAAGAGGAACAGCTGGCCTAAGGTTCGTGGTGTTGCTATGAATCCAGTTGAGCATCCCCATGGTGGAGGTAACCATCAACATATTGGTCATGCTTCTACTGTTCGCCGAGATGCTCCTCCTGGTCAAAAGGTTGGTCTTATTGCTGCACGTAGGACTGGTCGTCTCCGTGGTCAAGCTGCTGCAACTGCTGCCAAGGCTGATAAGGCTTAGTGGAGTTATAATATGCAGAGTACTTTTTGGCTGCATTTAATGTTTTTCTGTTTATTAGAGAGACTTGTTTATTTACTTAAAATTATGATGAATTGTTGTTTGGAAAAATATAGTACTAAATTTTGGTTTGAGCGTCCGTGATGATTCTCTGTCTTAGAAGCTCTCAGTCAGATGCAGTTTTTGTTATTAAAAAGTATCGGGTTTTTCATTCCTGATAGGGCGGCTATGACTGCAGTTTATCTTGCAAGGTAAAAAGGAAGATGGCTGATTGTTGCCCTTGCTTAATTATCTGAACCACCTTTGGTCATGGTACTGAAAAGATACTAGCATATAATGATATATCCATCTCCTGATTTCAGACAGAAGAAAACTAGCACTCTAGCATATAATGACATATCCATCTCCTGATTTCAGACAGAAGAAAACTAGCACTCTGGAAGTATTAAGTTAATTGAAGGTTGCGATTATGATGTCAGTTCATGTTTATAACTTGCATATTGACATTTCTGGTTTCTGCTGTTTGGGAGTTGGTGTGTTTTGAATACTAATCTACTACACGGACTGTTCTCGACTTTAGCCCCAGCTTTGAAATTGATACTCGGTTTTGTGTTTGTGGCATATGCTATGTTCAAAAAAAAAAAAAAACGGTAGCTCAACCAGCCCTTGTGTGTAACACTGCCACTTGAGTCACAAAAAATGGGAACAAAAGAAACCAAAACGCATGCTCATATACCTCATAAATCTCAATCAATTAGTGTGCATCTCGTTCATTGAACTAAAGTAATCAGACAGAAACGGCCTTTTTCATTTGGAACTAGGGAAATATAATTCCAGAGTCCTATATATTAAAATTTACTGTATGTGCATGGTAAATAATCTATAGGCTCAAAATTTTACAAACTTATGAAACATAATTTTACAATAGTGTTTTACATGTATCACTATTTAGAGATAATTTCATAAACATCACTTGCCATCTAAAAAAAAAAAATTCATATTGAGTTTTAAAATTAGTGCGGATCTCAAAATTCAATGTAGACTGTTTTTATGGGACATGGTTTCTCTAATTAATAATTTTTTATAAATTCACAATTTCAAGCGAACAATTTTGCAAAGAATCTGAGGTTGATTCATGGCTATGGTGAACTTGAGGACTCGGCATATAATTAAGGGTTGAGGAGTTTTTCCGACTTCACAACAATTCTTTGGTTAGATCAAATTGTTAAAAATTTGCAGCAAAACTCAAAAGCTTTTGTGACTGCCCCCAAACCAAAGAATAGAAAAAGATACTGGAAAACATGATTGCTAGAATGTTTAAAGCCCATTTGTGTGTGGCTCATGTAGCGGGAACAAGAATACATAAAGCCCAACTTGCAACTTGCAATATATGAAAGCAAATTTTGTTGACTACCTAACGACGTCGTCACGCCCCAAAAGGCACATAAATCTTGGCAAGCTGAAATCCTAAAACCCTGCTCCTCGCTATTCTCCGACCGACTACGGCGCTGCATTTTTGCACTCTCAGTATCACCACCAAAGTCGATTATTCAATGGCGATGAGGGCAGCAATTTCGAAGGCAGCTTCCGCTGCGGTGGCACCCAGAGGTTTCCGGGCTCTGTTATTCTCTACCGAACGAACTTCGCCGCTGTTTACTCCGCCACAGCCTCCGGCTCAGAATCAGACTCCCCCTCCGGCGGAACCCTCCAACAATCTCTTCGTCTCTGGTACTTCTTATCTTTTATCATTTCCACTCCCCCAATTAACCTTTAATCTGTTAATGGTTTTCGTTTCACCTCGCTAAGGGTTGATATTATCAAGCAAAGTTTTGTTTTGTTTGCCGTTAATTTTGTGCTTATTGTGTGCAAGAATGTCTAATCCATTCGAATAGACTTTTGGTTGAATCTCTGCTTTTATAAAATATCTTTGTTTTCCCTCTTGTTTTTCCTCTTCTCCTCTTGCGATGGGATTTAAGTAATTTGTGTATTTGCTTCGCGGTTCCTCCAAATTTATGTGTTAGAGATACATGAATGTTTTTAGCGCCTAAATGTTTTGTTTAAAGTTCACGTCTATTTTTGCGGTGACAGTAATTTAAGGGATTATTATGGTGTTTTGGATTCCTTCAGGATGGTTATGTAATGAGTTTGCTGATAATGTTGAAAATGAACAGATGCATTTCTCGCCTTGTCAGACAGACATGCTTGGTCTTTTTTCTTTTCTTTCTTCCCTAATTCAGCGTTTTTGGTTTCCTTCTTGCCTCTACCTTGAATTATCTCCCTGTCCTTTTCCATTATCCCGTTTGCTCTAGGTTTTTTCATTTCTATGGTAACCGAAATTTGAACTGTTAGTGCTCTGCTTGATACTCTTGGTCATTGAGTTTCTCTACTCATAACGCTAAAACAGTATGGTGATCATGATTCAGTTTCTGTCTAGGCTTCCGTCGTTTTCTTTTATTTTCAAGAACTGCTTTATCATGTTGATGTTATACTTGACTGTGCTTAGCTCTAGCTGGTGTCTGGTAATTTGGGGTCTACATTTTGGCAAAACTTTGATTAGGTCATTGTATTTTATAATTGCAGGGCTCAGTAAACGTACTACTACTGAAGGTCTACGAACTGCCTTTGAGAAGTTTGGCAAAGTCACAGATGGTATGTTTGTTTTCCAGAACTTTGATCTCTTATGCACCCCCAACGCTGATACGTATATCTTTTCTCCTGTACATTTGCAGCTAAAGTTGTAACTGATCGAACCTCCGGGTATTCCAAGGGTTTTGGTTTCGTCAAATATGAAACTTTAGAAGAAGCTGCAGCTGGTATAAAGGGTATGGACGGGCAGGTCAGTCGAGATGATTTTAAAGATTTATTGTATTTCAAATTTGTTCCAGGAAAACCCAGTTCAATGCTCTTTGTATTTCTATATGCAACTTCATTGAAAATAGTATGACAGAATTTTATTCACCAAAGAGCAAAAAGAATGACAGGATTTATGTAACACAAGACAACATGAAAAATAATGGGAAAGAATTTTGTCGCCACTGATAACAAAGGCCGATTCATTTAAAGGTCTACAACGTTAATTATGTATGCTTACTTTAGGCCTTTTTTTGTTATAATTGCATTCTCGTGACTTCTCTCTTAACTTCTGCTTTGTAGTTTCTGGATGGCTGGGTTATCTTCGCAGAGTATGCTCGACCAAGAAGTCCACCTCCTCCGCCTCAAAATTCTTTCGGAAATGGTTACAGCAACACATCTTTTCAGGGCCGAAGACCGTATTAACTTATCCAGTAACTTATATAATGAGTCATAGCTTTGATTTGGTCATTTTATGGACACTTAAGACTTTGGAGTGGTGGATCGATTGATTTGAGGTGAAAAGGGACTGAATGTCCTTACTTATATCTTATTTTGTTATGAGAACTTGTGAAATATGGGCACTTAATTCTTATTGGTCACGTGAGCTGTATCAATTCATGGCTGGATCTCATTGAACTCCCGCTTCTCTTTTTTATATGCCTAGGTTTGTCCTTCAATTATTCTTCCTAATACCAATTGGAATTTATCTGTTCAACTTCATACTGTGAAATGAACTATGAGCTAAAATCACTCTTGATCAGAAGGTTCTTTTTCTTCTTCTTATTGTATTTTCAGCATCTGTTTTTGTGGACAAAGAAGAGGGCCCTTTGTTTGTTTGGATAAGTTGTGCGTATTTAACTGCTTTTGGTTCAAAGGGATGATTACCTTATAATAACTTCAGATTGTACTTTCCTCTAAATTCGTTGATAAAGTTGATGCTCTTTTGCGTGCAAGTATAAAGGGCTGTTTTGAACAGAAATCATTGGTTCTTCACATATGTAAAGAATCACTTCACATGCATAGATGTGTGAGGTTAATGGGAAGTGGTTGTTTTTCTGCCTTTTTTTAACTCGAAAACGAAATGTAAATATTACAAGGACGATCACGGAGAAAATCCTAAAAGCAAAAAAAGCAAAAGAAGTGAAAAAGAAGGTATCTTAAAGCAGGCCAAACAATCAATCCTAGAACTAATGATAGAGAGACCAAAAGCACAGTAAACGAAAAGGAATCTTAAAGCATGCTGGAACATACATTTTCCCACTGAGTTTGTTCGTAATAGGCTCGAACTTCTGTCCTAACTACTCTTCGTTCTTCTCCAGTTTTTCTGCAGTTAGTAATTCCTACTGTATTTTTGCAAGGGTATATTAGTATAACTAAGGTCTAAGAGCAAGGTCGCACGTGGTTTTGTTGACAAAAATTGTGTAAAACCAATAAAAAGTACTCTTTCTGTCTCAAAATTATTGTCCAATTTGAGATTTCACTTTTTAGTATAATTTGAACTAGAAATGAAAACTCAAACTTGACAATAATTACGTGATGGAGGGAATAACATCTTCATTTAATTTTTTTAGAGGCAAGTGATACACATAATCATCGTATGTATAAAGTTTTTCTTTTCTTCGTATGTTTTGGTGCTACTTAATTTTTTAGAATCTTGATGACTTCTGCAATCACTAAATGTAATATAAGACGATCCAAAATCTATGAATAATGTTTCGGAGGAAGTTAGCAGCAAACAAATGGACGCCTTCAATAGGAACGATATGATGTGTATATTAAATTATCAACAATTATTGATGTATAACAGTAATACAGGTGCAGGAGTAATTTTGTCGGATGGAATACTATTATTCATTTTCTTATTTATTTATTTATTTACAGTCTCCAATATTGTAAATGGTTTCCAAGAAAGTGTGGCATTATGAAGGCTTTGCTTCCACCAAAGGGCACCTAGAAGGCTAGAATGGCCTTGACAGCTGAAATTCGCAATTTCGCATAACTTTAGCACACAAACAAAAATATCATATATATCATCATCATACATAAGCAATTAACTCATTCGTAGGTTGTAATTAAGTAACGTCATTAATTATATCTTTATCTCTATAATCGTAAAGCTCATAAAAAAAAAATTGTGGCTCACCCGATGGCAAAACCTAAAATTTCTTTAATATTCTTCAAAGCGCTGGTGTGAAATTTGCGAGTTTCGGCGTCGCAAATTTCATAAATCATGATGTGTAAGTGTGTAACGTATGCAGGTTGCATACGGGACAAACAGATTTTATGCACCAAATGAACACCCGGTTTTGTCGGGCATCCAAAAATGTGGTGTGTACGTACCCGGGAAACAATCCAGATGGTTTCACAATCGCCCACGTAATGTCACGATTCTTGTAACTTAGTTTTTGTGATAACAAATAGTCCTCTCCTCCTATATAAGTTAGTGTTATTATTATATGGCGGTAGGAGATTTTGCCATGTTGAATTGGGCAAAGGATTATGAACACAAACAACAACAACAAAAAAATTAATTACGAAAGCTACTGTTGCTGAGGATATTTCTTTTAACTGAATAACACCTCGATTGACTGACTACTATTCCTCCTCCTACCATCTTCTTCAGTAAAGACAATAACTAATGAACATGCCTCATCAGGTGACGATGTGGGCTTGACCTCAAAATGCAAACAACTGTGTTTCTAGTTACTTCTAGTTTTTCCCACACATGACTAATCTACTCTTGCACTTATTATAGAATCTCATGGAATGTTTTTTGATCCGCTATATATGGTATCTTATGGACCGCAAAAAACGATATTGTTTATTGAATGATACAACAAAAAAAAAAAAAAGAGACAAAATAAGTGTGAGAGAAGTATGAAAACTTAGAGAAGGTGATTGCTTATAAATCTAAATGGACAGGCAACAGGTAACATGACTTATCGAGCAGTATATATCCACTGAAATGAGCCTCAACAAATTTCATCTCTTTTCTAAGAAGTTAGTGGCTGAATGAGTCTATTGTTATTTTTAATTTGTTTGTCTGTTTTCAACTTTAATTTGCATACTCATTATTTATAAACTTCTTAACTGCGAAAAAGACAGCCTACCCACTTCATTAGTAAAATACTCCATCCGTCACATGATTATTGTACAGTTTGAATTTTTATTTCTAATTCAAATTGCACTAAAAGTGAAATTTCAAATTAGACAATAATTTTAAGACAGAAGGAGTAATTTCTTTTATTTTTCTTTTCAAAAAAAGGAAGGAAAGAAAGAAGCAAAAACCGAATGTGTGGGTTGTGTTGATCATCAAACGAATTCCAGCATTACTTTTGTGCTTCGACCAGTTAGGTATGTAATATGATATATACGATCGAGCATTTAACGCATGGGTTTGCTTATATCACTGCTTTATATATATATATATATATATATATATATATATATATATATATTTCCTAATCTATCCTTTATCCCCTCTTACAAACCCATCCTAAATATCTTATCTTGTACCTAGTGAGAATCGAATTCGCGAACTCGTGTGAGAGAGCTCTACTATCAAATCACTAGGTTACATCAGATTCTCTATATTTTAACGTTTTAGATTATTACTAGATGTTAAACCCGCACATCGCACGATGTGCAGGGTTTATACATATACATCTATTAAAATATATTTTTAAATTTTAAATGTGATTAATATAAATAAATTAACAGGTTTGTAATAATAAATATATGATTAAAATTAAATTAGATCGTGATAAATAAAATTGTTATATATACTTTGAATGACAACATTTTATAAATTATATGCCAAAAATGTAATTAAATAATGGAATATGTATAAGGATTATATACAAATAAAAGTAAAAAAGACCACCAAAATAATAAATCAGATGTTACATGTCATATAAATCAAAGCAATTTATGTCTACACGGTTAAAAACGCATGTTAATCAAGACTGCAAACAATTGGAGAAAAAGACACCTTACATGTTAAATAAAACATGATCGGAGTGAGGTCGTCGCCGCAAAGATGTTTTGTAAAGTATATAAGAGCTTCGCTTCAGTGTTTCGCCGGTTGTCATTGTACATGTTAGAGTTAGACCGAATTGGATATTTATAGTGAATGTCTGAATGAGATATCATAACCAGTAATTAAAGTAAAATTCATAACTATGGAACAAAGATGATAACGTATGTTGATTAAGGGATAAGATTGGTGGGGAAATGACTTCCATTGCATTAATGTTGATTAGTCTTTTTCAATTAAATTTGTTAGTTTTTAATCACTAAAGAATTCCCACTTTCCCGCACATTGAACTTAGGTTTTAAATCAATCAAGTAGTGATTTTAGGGATTATTTTGTAGAGAGATTTTTTTTTTATTCGAATTGGCTGGGGTAAAAAATTCCGATTAATTAATGTTGAAAATAACAAATGTCTTATCCCTTTGAACTTACAATTTAAATCAATCAATTAATACTAATTAAGAATTATTTTTGGGAGGGATTATTTTTTAGAGGGAATAATTCTGAGGCATTAATGTTCATTAATCCTGTCCATTAAATTTAATTAATTTTTATTTTCCTATTTTAAACTATAGTCTTAAATGTCATTTGATAAAACTTTATTTACATAAAATTTGAAGTACTATTAGTATAATTGTTGTAAATATTTTTTGATTCAACCATTAGAAAAATGACACATAGGATTTTATCTTATGTGGCACCTTTAGAATTCTTTTTTGTTTTCTCTCTCTGGTTTCTCTCTTAGTATAATACTCCCTCCGTCCCATAATTATTGTCCACTTTGCCCAAAAAATTTTGTCCTAAAATTATTGTCCAATTTGACTTTTTATGGATCAAGTTACACATTTGTCCTTAGTAAAAAATATTATCCATAAAATCTTAGTGGTTAAACAATTACTTAAGTAGGGCTATATCCGGTTGTTTAAGGTAAAATATAGTTAAGTTTGATAAAAAATAAAATCTTTCATTTTAGTAAAACTGGACAATAATTATGGGACGGATAGAGTATATTATATAGATTTCCTCCATTGTATTGTACCCCCAAAAAAAAACACCTATTTATCACGTCAACTTTTTAATTTCTCTCCTACATGTTAGTTAATTCGGGGCATTAGCTGTGTGATTTGATAGTGAGATTTAATTAGTGGAAGAAGGGAGACGACTTGCGAAGTTATCGAATTAAATCGGTTGTTTCGGTGTCTCATTTTCATTGCCTGAGGAATAAAATACAATTCCCTTTTCTCTACCCCACATTTCTTTTCCATGAGCAACTACATGTTTGTTGATAACATAATTACGCGTCATAAAACCATATTCTAAATTGTTTTTTGTCATCAACTAAGCAACATTGCCTCCTCGTGATTTGGCCTTTTAATTAATTAATTAATCTATTCATTTCAATATCAATCAATCATGATCTCACTAAATTGATACTAAATAGTCTAATACATGCAGCCTCAACAACCATATCAAACCTTTTGATCGCATTCCAATTATTTAAAGGGAACTCACTTTTACTATTAAGCCATATATTATCTAGCTAGTTGCTCACTGACAATCGTGCAAACCCAACAGCTTACGTTGGTTCTTTTATTTATAAATTAACAAAACATATGATAGTTGCTAAATGCTAATAAAGTAATCATTGGCAATATGGGGCACTTTCCCTTAACTAGCGAAGCCAAATAGTTACTGCTAGTTTGTAGTAAGCTGGAAGATAACATAACCTAATTTTCCCGAGTGTTATTTTCTAATTTATTGCTATCCGATCAAAACGCAAGAAGCGGGCAATTAATTAAGTTAGGCAGCCTAATCGCATTAATTAGAAGCGAGAAATCTATTGTGAGGACTTTT